ATGATGAGGGCAATGAATGTACAAATGTGCTTTACACAATTGATGTATGTATGGATTGTGATAAGAGTTGTATGAGCTCCTAATAAAATGATATAAAAAATTTAAAGACATTAAAAAAAAGAAATGAGGATGACAAGACTTTGTCTTACACACTTTGGACATATTTTCAGAAGTGACTAGTCCTTGGAAAAGGATATCATACTTAGTAAAGAGTCAGTGAAAAATGAGGAAGTCCCTTGATTAGCTGGATTGATACAGTTGTTGCAACAATGGCCTCAAACATAAGAACAATTGTGAGCATAGTGCAGGATTCAAGATCACCTATCAAAAATAAGAGCAACACAGTTTGCTGTTAGAGATGGGTGGGAGTCCCAAGACTATTCCTTTTCCCCTTTAGGCCTGGAACTGAATCCCTGCGTTAGAATAATCAACCATTTAGGATAGAAAGGGCAGCATGTACCCAATGACAAAGTTGATAGGAATAGGACAGGAAGAACGGAAATAAGTACAGGGGGAACATGAGATAAGCGGTGGTACGTAGCCAGGATTCCCATGGATGAATTGTATCAGGTGTATGAATTGTTGACTGTGAAACTATGCTCTGCTGGGCAAACCTTCACGCAACTCACAATACCCAGCAAAAGCAAAGCCACTGCCATGGAGTTGGTGACAACGCATCGTGACCCGAGGACAGATATAACTGCTCCTATGGGTTTCTGGGATGGTAACTCTTTACACGAGTAGAGAGCCCCGTCTTTCTGCCAAGGAATGGCTAGTGGTTTCAAACTGTTGACCTTGTAAAAAAGTTTAAAAAATTTATTTTCATTGTTTTCACCCCATGTTGATCAATTAGTTAAAGCAAATCTAAAAAAGAATGAACCATTAAAGTCTGCTACTCATACACAGAAAATTGACAGTGTTTATCTTCTGAGGCCCTGTAACTAATAACATAAATGGGAAAGAAACAGAATTTGTTCATTCTCATTATTAATATTGTTATTTTAAGTAATTTCTCACTGCTTTCTAGACTGGAAACATTATAGTAAATTTTTACTCTCAAGCTTTAATTTTGTTATAATTTGAAACTTAAAGTTACTGAAACAATATAAGGAACTCTGAAATATTCTTTACCCAGATTCACTAATTGTTCACATTTTGATCAATTTGATATATCATTTGTTTTCTTTCTTGAATGATTTGAGGTTTACTTTCAATTTAAATTATTTTAAGGCAAATATTAGCACTGTTTTGTTAAAGTTTTAAAAGATGCGTATCTCTTTTGCTACCTTAACCAACCATCCAACCAACCAACCAACCAACCAACCAACCAACCAACCAACCAACCAACCAACCAACCAACCAAAAAACCTCAAGCCAATGGCCTCCTAGGGATGATTCCAACTGTTGACTCCAAATTCATGCCTACAGGGTAGAATTGCTTCAGTAGGGCTTTCTTGACTGTAGTCTTTACAGAAGCAGTTCATCAAATCTTTCTTCCCTACAATGTCTTGAGAGGTTTGAACCACCAACCTTTAGGTCAGTGTTTCCTAAAGTAGGTGATACTGCCCCCTGGGGGGTGATGAAATGATCTAGGGGTAGGGGATGGCTGCAACAGCAGAGACCTACACTTTATCCTGGATTATGGGCTATAGTACAAATGTTTTTAATTGCCTGAGGGTTTTGTTTGTTTTTCTGAAAAGAGAGCAGTAGGCCAAATGGGTTTGGGAACCTATGCTTAGGTTAAAGGGCATTCAGAAACTGCTTGTGCTACCCAGTGGCGCAGAAATTGACACGGGAATTGAGTCTTGGTTTTGGTTGCAGGTGGAAGTCTGTAAAACCAGGAAGTCAGGGGCCACTGTGTTAAGGGATCTCTGACCCTGGAGGCTGAGACTGCGGACACTGGGAGTGTTTTCTAGGTGGCTTGATGGATTTACCGTTCTCTCATAGGACATGCTTGTTGGATTCTTTCATTTTACCTAATGGCTAAATATACCCATATAGGCTTTGAAGTACTGCTCCTTCATGGTATGATCTTAGGGAAAATGAATTTGTTTGTGCATGTGCCTGGGTCTCAGTTACGATACTTGTAAAATAGTCAAGATTACCTGTCTCATTGGGTGGCTGTGAGGGCCCACTAGACTTGTTGAATTGCATGCACTTAAAAAAGCATTTAGCACAGTGTCCAGCATATGGCTAACAAATGTCAATTTGATTCGTCTTTGGTAACAAATAAACAGAAAACCAAATTCACTGCCATCAAGTCGATTCCGACTCACAGCAACCAGATAGGCCAGGGTAGAACCGAGACTGTAACTTTTCATGGGAGTACAAAGCCATTCCTCACATGGAGCAGCTAGTGGATTCTTCAAACTGCTGACCTTTCAGTCAGCAGCCAACGTAACCACGACGTCACCATTGTAGATGATTTAAATTAATTTTTTTCATAAGGAAATGATTTTTATGCAAATTATGGTTTCATTAAAGCCTCAAGAGACATGTATCTATTTTACTGATTGAACTAAACAACCAGAACAAACTCAAACCCAAAGAGGATATTGAAGTTCACAAGCATACAATTAGGAGCATTTTTGTGCAGGTGAGAGTTCCTTCCAGACTGACTCTTGGCTAAGTCGTGCGAATGGGAGGGGACAAGAGGGCAGGTCAAGATGGGCCAGCATGATGGGGACACAGACCATTATGGGTCTGGTTTAAGTAGGGTGAGTCAGGACAAGTGTATTAGTGGAGGAGCAGATGCGGCTTTTGCCGGCACAGAGTGAATGGCACCTCTTATCTACCCCTAACGAGCAGGCTGGACTCAAAGCTACCCAGCAACCAGGCAGTGCCAGGGTCTTTGCTGGCCTCGGGCACAGAAGAACAGGCGTCCTTCCCCCCTCACCCTCCAGGGTGAGGACAAATTTCCACACACAGGGGCCTGGCCACTCTAGGGCTTCACTTCTCTTACCTTGAACCATGATGTTTATACTTTCTGAAGATACATTATTCTTCCCGATAAGGCCCCTGCAAAAGTAGGAGCCACTGTGCTTGCCCGTTGCATTTAGAATTTCGAAGACGGTATTTCGATGAAAATACTTCTGGCTTTTGCCATTCTGGTGATATGTGACTTTATACACTTGTTTGTTTTTCCAGCCGTGACACCTCAGGGTAATTTTCTCTCCCTCTTTGAACACCTGTCCAACTGCCTGGAGCAACAGCCAGCCTGAAAGACACAACAGTGCTTTTGTGAGGAGAGTCCCCTCAGATGGAGGTCCTGAAGAAAATGGAAACCACCCTGGAAGCCTCCCCTCCACAGCTCTCTGTGGGAAGAAGCCAATAGGGCCCTGCAAGAGAATGCAAGTCGCACCAACTTTTTGCTTGTTTGTTTGGTCTAATGGGGTAGAGGGACAGATACCTACATGAGCCAAACATGCACATGATCATGAAAGGTTCCGTAGAACCTTTGGGTGTTGAAAGTGAAGAGCGATTTGGGTTTCTGAAATGGATGGGTGTCGGTGTGCTCACAGGGGATGACGGCAGACAAGGATTTGCCTGCGTGGCAGCTAATAAAGAGCCATGGCATGTGCTAAGTCAGAGTAAAAATTGCATTTTGAATGTAGTGATTTGTCTTATTTGAGGACAGGTAGATTTCAGAGAGAGAGATAGCGCAGAGGAATATGACAAGAGAACTTGCAGTCAGCCAGTCAGGAATAAGGTGACTGGGTGGGCACTGACATTGTGGCAGGGAAAGGAAGGAGGGACCAGAGGTGCTCATGGGTAAGGTTTGGTGTCTGCTTGGCCATAAGGCTTCAGAAAGGCTTTCTTTGTTTATATACCATTTATCATTTATGGGAAAAAAGGCTATATATTCACTTACATTTTTAGCAGAGAGATGAAATTTTACTAGCGTAAGATTATATTTGGTATCTAGTAGGAGGACCTTTGTGGAGAACATTCTGTTTTTGTTTTGTTTTTTATCCTCCCGGGGTCCGTGAAGGGAGGGACTGCAGGGAACATTCTTTCCCAATCCAACCTGATATGGACTCAATGAATGTCCATATGCTCATTCACTCTCAATGTGTCCATCATTGTGCAAGACTGGAGATACCCAGGTGATTGGACAGAGTCCCTGGCCTCAAAGAATGTGGACACGGAGACACACATATGCAGATATAATTACAGCACAGGAGCTACGGCAAACACAGGTCTGCAGGGCCAAAGAGACCGAAACCAAGGACGCTGACCCAGAGAGAATCAAGAAGACTTCTGAGAGGTTGAGATAAATCAAATGGGTCCTAAGGGATGATCAGGAGTTTGCCTGGTGAGGCTAAAGCCATGACGCTAAAGCTCATGGTCACCATTTAACACAGCCTTCTTTATGGCCACTTCTAAAACTAGACTCTAGCGCAGTGGTTCTCAACCTTCCTAATGCCACGACCCTTTAATGTAGTTCCTCATGTTGTGGTGACCCCTCAATCATAAAATTATTTTCGTTGTTACTTCATAACTGTCATTTTGCTACTGTTATGAATCATAATGTAAGTATCTGATATGCAGGCTGTATTTTCATTGAAATTGAACATAATTAAAGCATAAAAATTTATCACAAAAACAATATGTAATTATATATCATGAAATATTTATTTCTAATTACAAATAAATGAAATTTTGTCTTGAAGCATGGTGTAGCATGGGTAACAACAGTCTTCTTCACGCCCGGGTACTCGTATGTGTGTGTATCTGCATGTGGGTGGACACACCTGGAGACGGATAGAGGAGCGGTGTCTTGGTTCCTAAGACCATTGGAAATATGTGTTTTCCGATGGCCTTAGATAACCCCTGTGAAAGGGTCATTCAACCGCCAAAGGGGTCGGGACCCACAGGTTGAGAACCGCTGCTCTAGAGGTAAGTTCACAGCAAGCTGATAACAATAATCCCAGGGTTTGCTTCTGCTATTGCCTCCTGATGGTAATTCATCACTTATTAGGTGGCCATCTCTCACCAACAAGATACTAGACATTCCTCCTGTAGCTCTATAGAGTGAGGACTATGTTACCTGGGGGTACAGTCAGAGGCAAAGGAGCCACAAAGATCAGCCTCTGAGGCCCGATTTGACGGAAGCCTGCTTCAGGTTCACCTCTGGTAGGATCTCCTTCTCCTCCAGGCTGGTTCCACCGTATACATTATTCACATAGGGCGGCCATGGAAGTAGAGCCAAACTTGCAAAGTGACAGTGCATGTTCCAGGCTATACGGTGTGATTTCAGGGACAACATGAAAGCCCCCTGACTGAAAATGTCTTCCCCTCACTGGTGTCTGGATACACAGAACTTTCATCCCACATTTAATGTGCTAGTTGAATATGCATAGGCTCTTGGGAGAGATACCACGTTACTAAATTTATGCTAAAGTATGACTGTTTTGAGTGACATTGATCTGGAACTACAACTAGGAGAGTAGATTGTACTAGCTGATTTAGGAGGTAGGGTCGGGAATTATGTGTTTGAGGAGAAGGAACTTGAGGTCCTAAAAAGAGTTTCATTAATGTTTCCAGGAATTTATTTTTGAGCATCTATTTTGGGCCTTGACCTTTAGACAACACCCGTCACACTGTATGCATTTTATGTGAAAGGCAATTCCTGGACTAGTGCAATGCAGCCCTCCTGTATCTGTCACGTGCCAGACTTCGACAATTTGCCTAAGGCCTACTGCACTACAACTCCAATACCCTTCAGAGACATCACAGCTGACCTCCTCTTAGCGTTAGCCCCAGAGAACACCATCCATAGCTCGGCCCAAGTCTTTAGGGCCTCTTGTTCCACACTGTCGGTGGTTCCCCTCTTGCCTTCATTGACTCACCGATGTGGACTTCCAGGTTCACCGGGTCACTGAGTGTGGTGAGGCTGGTCTGGCACTTGTACTCCCCGCTGTCTTTAGGGCTGGCAGCTGTGATGAAGTAGGTGGAGGTGTTGCTTGAGATAAGGGTCCCATTGTGCCACCACTGTGTGGACTTGTTCCCAGGGAGGGAGGCCCCCTGGCACTTCAGAGTCACACTGTCATTGGTGAGCACTCGGTACCACGGAGGATCTAGTGACACCGCCGCCTTTGGGAGATCTGCTGAGGAGCCAGAGAGTAGAGGATGAGAGTGGTGTGGAGAAGCACGCCCTTCATTAGTGTCCCAGGCTCCACGCCAGAGTAAGCCCGTAGCACACCCAGGGAGTGACTCAGCCCGGGCCTCTGACTCAGTGTTAGAGCCCTCTGAAACTTGGAGGCACTTGGCTCCATTTTCGGTTTGCTTTGAACCTGGAAGAAGGCTAGCCGGAGTGGCTGAGCGGCAAGAGCCCCCTCCTTCCCGCCCCTCCCTGCATTGGTATTAGAGAACTCCAAATCAGCATTTTCCCAAGCAATGGACATTCCCCAATATCCTGGGGTTGTGGAACTCAATAAACCAGACCAAACCAAAAAACTCCCAACCCATTTCCATGAAATCAAGTCTGACTCCGCAGAACAGGACAGGGTAGAACTGCCCCATGAGGTGTCCTACGCTGTATCTTTACTAAAGCAGACTGCCTCCTCTTTCTGGGTTCAGTTAGTAACCCCGCCCGTAACCACTGTGCCGCCAGGGCGCCTTTGTGGTACTCTATGGAACACCGTCATTTGATTTTCCGAGACCAGGAAGCAAACTCACCAGCCTGAAGATCACCCCAAACTGCAAAAACAAAAACACAACAAAAAGTGAGTAGGAACAGCCATCAGGGTAAGTGGGATGTAGAGTGAGTTTAAATTTCCCTCTCCTGGAAGCCGAATGCGCCTACAAATTGACATCTTTATAGGAGATACCTTTCCTGATGTTCCCTGCTCTCCAACATCTGTGCCTCCTGCCCCACATCCACCCAAGCCCCTGGTGGACACACTGTTCCCTTATGTCTAACTCCCTGTTCAAACTCACAGATGAAGGGTGCAGTTTAGATTCTCCTGAGTCAAACCATGGGAACAATCTCAAGCTAAAACTCCTGGAAAAGTAGACGTGAAGAGTGATAGGGGGAACTCTGGGATGGCAGAATTCAGGAAGGGACAGACCGTAGAGACATTTAGTCCCCAGCTCTTCAATTTATAGGAACTAGGTGGTGCAAGTGGCTCAGGATTAACTGCCAAGCAACCCCTTCCCCCCCTCCGCCCAGGGAGCTGTTCACTTTTAACACATGGGCTTGCCCTGGAGTCAGGGGTCGCTAACAACCACAAGTTCAGTTTATAGATTAGGAAACTGATGGCCAGAAAGGTGAAGTGACTGCGGCCTCACAGTCTCCCGTTTTTCTCCTGATTATGCCAAATCAGACCCAGACTTCTTATCTCTGTAGCTCACAACTGGCTGTCTTTAGGAGCTAAAGAGCTAAATCCAGAGCTATAGACATGGTAAGGAGCCCCATCCTTATTGGGGATCCCAACGCTGGTCTGAAAAGAAGTCTCTGTGGAACCCAGGGCACCTAAGCTTCTCTCTCAGCCACGGTGACTCTGACTTACCTACAAGGAACAGAGCTGTTGGTGGCAGTCGCCGCCACATGCTGCTGCATGAACCAAACCTCCACAGCTCCCCAGAACTCTAAAGAGACAGAGTGAACTAGAAAACAGGAAGTAAACAACATAAACCGCTTCCCCTCTTGCCTTCCTCCTGCCCCACCATTAAATCACCAGGTTCCCTTTCCGGGAACATCATCTGATGACTCCTGAATTCAAATTCTGATCAGTGAGGCCCGTGTAGGAAAGGAAGTGGGGAAAAGGGTCCATCAGACAAACTGCAATAACGGCTCAAACGTACAACCATGGTGAAGATGGCGAAGGATGGGCAGTGTTCCATTCTGTTGTACAGTCTCTGAGTCAGAACCAACTTGATGGACCCTAACAACAACAACAACACATGGAAATGAAATGTGAGCATCTAAGAGGGTAACATGGCGCAATGATGAGTGATTGAGGATGAGCTGTGATGGACAAGGAGGAATTGAGGGTGATACTCATTTTCCTGGCTTTGGTGATTGTGGTACAGTTGAATTAGTTGGTGTGGCTCTTCTATCTAGTGTTTATAACTTCCACCAACGGAGTGGGTAGTAGCATGCAAATAAGACATGTGGGACTCTAAACTGGGGATTGGTTACTTGTGCTATTCTGTTAGGTATGAAGTGAGCCATCTCAGAAGCAGGAAGAAGGAGTTTCATGACCACCAAGAAAGAAAACCACGAGTGGAGTGCATCTGGGATCCTTGCACAGAGCAGCAAGAATTGTCGGCAGCAGCAGAAGTAGCAACCCAGAAATGCTGAGACAGAGAGGTAGCCTTCTGGACCCATGAAATGAGTAAAGCTGAGTACTTTTGGACAGGGAGCTGGTAAGCAGAGGGAGTTGTCCTTTGGGCACTTACCAGTGTTAAAGAGCTTTGAAACCCTTGCCTGAGAAGGTCAGAAGCTAAGGGGCCTTACTGTCGAGGCTGAGGACCAGAGACATGTGCCTGGCGGCACATGTAAACATGTGCTGTGGACAAAATGATTGTCTCCTTGTTGTTTCTGACACTGACTTGTAACCTATTAGCTTCTCCAGTAAACCTCACAATTGTAAGTATAGTATGAGTCTTATGGGCCACTGCATCTAATCCAGGAGAGAAGTAGAGTGCCATGGGAGAGATAGTTGATGTCAGAACAGGAAAAAGAAGGGTGGAGGGTGGAGCCCTCTGACCTCTGCTTGCTATACATTAGCCTTGGACTGATATGGATTTGGACTCTCCTTCCTCTTTGTGTAGGTGGAGATGGTCAGATGAGGCTCCCACACTCTTATTCATGGACATAAAAAATACAGGGAGAGGAGCAGGATTTGTGAGGCCCAGATAATGATCTCAGCTTTTGACGTTATTGAGTTTGAGGCAGTTTTGTGACTGGTGGAGATGTCAGGCAGGCAATTGGACATAAGACTTTGGAAGTCAGTAGCTAAGCATGGGCAAAAGACACAATCTATGAAACACACACATGGTTAATATTTCAAACTTCTGATACAAAATACAGGTCCCCCCCTAGGAGCAAATGTAAATATGCACATCATTTCCATCATAATTTAAGAAGCTCCTCTGAAGCACATCAGAATACCTGGATTAAGATTAGAAATTGACCTGGATAAAATCTCTCCAAATTTAGGAATGTCAAGGAAAAAGATGAAGAGGGCGAAGGTGAGGAGGAGAAGAGAGGAGAAGGGAACGAAAGAAGAAAAAAGGACTAAGGACGGAAACTTGGCACACGGCAACTTTTTTAAAAATCATTTTATTAGGGGCTCATACAACTCTTATCACAATCCATACACACATCAGTTGTGTAAAGCACATTTGTACATTCATTGCCCTCATCATTCTCAAAACATTTGCTCTCCGCCCAAGCCCCTGGCATCAGTTCCTCACTCCCCCACCCACTCTTTGCTCTTCCCTCCCTCATGAAACCTTGATAATTTATAAATTATTATTGAGTCATATCTTGCCCTGTCCAACGTCTCCCTCCACCACTTTTCCATTGTCCGTCCCCCAGGGAGGAGGTCACATGTATATCCCTGTAATCGGTTCCCCATTTCCAACCCACCCACCCTCCACCCTCCCAGAAGAAATCATCTGCCCTGGATTCCCTGTTTCCAGTTCCTATCTATACCAGTGTACATCCTCTGGTCTAGCCTGACTTGCAAGGTAGAATTGGGATTGTGATAGAGGGTGGGGAGGAAGCATTTAGGAACTAGAGGAAAGTTGTATGTTTCATTGTTGTTGCATTGCACCCTGACTGGCTCACCTCCTCCCCAAGGCCCTTCTTTAAGGGGATGTCCAGTGGCCTACAAATGGGCTTTGGGTCTCCACTCCGCACTCCCCTCCTCATTCACTATGATATGATTTTTTTTGTTCTGATGATGCCTGATACCTGATCCCTTCGACACCTCGTGATTACACAGGCTGGTGTGCTTCTTCCATGTGGGCTTTGTTGCTTTTGAGTTAGATGGCTGCTTGTTTACCTTCCAGCCTTTAAGACCCCAGACGCAATATCTTTTGACAGCCGGGCACCATCAGTTTTCTTCGCCACATTTGCTTATGCACCCACTTTGTCTTCAGCGGTTGTGTCAGGAAGGTGAGCATCATAGAATGCTAATTTAATAAAGAAAGTATTCTTGCATTGAGGGAGTACTTGAGTGGAGGCCCGATGTCCTTCTGCTACGTTAATACTAAACCTATAAATATATGCACATAGATCTATTTCCCCATCCTCACATATTTACATATGTACATGCCTTTATTTAGACCTCTACAAATGCCCTTTTCCTCCTAGCTCTTTCCTCTATTTCCTTTGACTTTCCTCTTGTCACACTATCATGTTCAGCCTTCATTTGGGTTTCAGTAATTCCTCTTGGTTACATTACCCTTGATCACGCCCTACCAGGCATCCTACACCCTCCTCACCACCGATTTGGATCACTTGTTGTTCCCTTGTCCCTGGTTTTGTTAACACCACTACCTTTCCCCCCACCTCCCCTCTCCCATGTCCCCCTGGAACTGTCGGTCCTGTTGCTGTTTCCTCCAGATTGTTCATCCAGCCTATCTTATTTAGACGGACCTGCGGAGATATTAACATACACAAAAACAAGACAGAGCAAAGCCAAGCAACAATATACAAGAAAACAACAGCAGACCAATGACAAAAACCAAAACATAACAAGAAAGAAAAGCTTGTAGTTAGTTCCAGGACTGGTTGTTGGCCTATAGGAGTGTTTTCCAGTCTAGGCTGTTGGGGCCCCACGCCCTGGCCCCAAAGTCCACCTTCAGCATTCCCGGGGGACCTGGCTGCTCCATTCCCTTGCTGTTCTGTTGCACCCCCTTAGTGTTTTGCCTCGGTGTGGCGGGATCAGATCGGGCGCAATGCCCACACTGTGTCTCCGGTGTGGCACACAGCAACTTTTGCAGAGTATGTAAAGGAAGAGTCACTGACAAAGATAATTGGGTGCAAGTACTGACGAAGTGAAAGGAGAAAAGGGATGTCCAGGGCGGGCAGACCTTCAAAAGGGAGAAGTTAATATCACTACACCCGGAAGAAAAGAAAAGGGGTTACGAAAGAGTTCTTTCGATGTGGCCCCCAGGGAACTATTAAGGACTTATACCCAAGCAATTTCAGAGTTGGGATTGGAGGGCAGAAGCCTGCTAGCATTTGGGTGAAGACTGACTAGAAACAACAAAGTATTTTAATGAATTACTACTTTTTTAAAAAAGAATTTTGATTATAAAGGAATGGTGGCCTTTTGTCCTAAAGGTGCACTATCCAACGTTCTCTCAACCTCCTCTTCTCCCCATCCTCCCCCAGGGAAGCCCTACTTTGAGTAGTCTTCCTTTTTCCCCCTCTTAGGATAGCAGGAGATCCAAGTTTGGAATCCTGAATATAATGAATCCTGAACAAACAATACACAGGGAGGAAGGGCAAATGGTTGGGGCAGAGTCTTCACTGCATAAAATATGATGAACAGTCTTATTTTCCTTTCAATAAATTCCTATTCTTTACTTAATCTATAGAGAATTTTGATACACTTACTTACATGGACAGCCCCTAGTGATACAATGGACTCGGATGTGCACATGTAGCACCCCTCTCTTGGAGCTGAAGGCAGGAGGTGAGGGGATGGCACATGTAGATCAACATCCAGATATTGAGTGAGACATTTGAAGTGGTTTATGTCTGACGGCCCTGATGTTCATGTTGAAGGAGGAATCCATGTGATCTACTAAGAAAGAGAGAGTGAAGGGTGATGGTAGGGAGCTTAAGGACATCAGACAAGTATTGTTAACATGTGAAAGGATTTTCAAGCAATTGTAAAAGAACGCCAAGCAATGCCCATGACTCACTGAGCTCAGTGGTTATGGGTTTGTAGTCGGACCAGTCCTCTGAGTTGGTCAATTTTCTCTAATAGTACTGAGTGCCAATTACTCTCTGATTCACCAGTTGAGAGTGGTCCTACTAGGAGCAGAGTGAGGTTCTACAACCTGTAGTGCCTCTGAAGCATCTCAACTGGACTGAAGAAATACTGAGCATGAAGGTATGTAGGACTTCAGAAACAGACAAATCAACAGACACACACAAAACAATCCAGGGAATAGGAGAGAGAGAGAGAGAGAGAGAGAGAGAGAGAGAGAGAGAGAGAGAGAACAAAACAAAAACCAGGAAGAGATAAAGGAGAGATAAAGGACAGAAACTATAAGGGATTGAGACAGATTTTTGTGGTATGACCTATGTCATAGACTACTCACTTTGGCTATGAAAATTAAAGCAATACAGACTTCTGCTGTATCAGAACATTACAGAAACTTGATGCTACCCCTTACAGTGATTTATAAACACCTTACGTTATGTCATATGTAGACTCTTCCCAAATTGCCCACATTTTAAAGTTTCTCAGAATAGTGTTGGTCATGTGTCATGAGAAGGTTACTGGTCAAGGAGGAAGGAAATCCATGTTTTGGTTTCAGTTCTGAGAGTAGCTAGTTTTTGAGCCATTTCTCTTTGCTCAACCTCAGTTTTCTCATCTATAAAGTGAGACAAA